GGGGGGGGGGGGGGGGCTGACATCCTCCCCAAGGTGACACCAGCCCTGGCCACATGCTCGCTCTGACTGGGTGACTGTCAGTAGGAGTGATGCATGCCCAGTTGGAGCAGACACTTCAAGACCACCATCTGGTTTTATCTCCTCTTTCACTCTTTTCTCTCCACTATGAAAATGACGTGTGCAAGATAAACACCATTCCTTCTGCCCGGGACCCAAAAGGCAGAGGACATGGAACAGAGCTGAAGCTAACTCACACCTAACACATAACACGAACACAGAAATAGTCTTTGCTGTTGTAAGCCACTGATGTTTGGCGATCACTTGTTACTATGGCATAACTTAGCAAAAGCTGACCAATAGAATGGTTGACTTCCTGGTATACCATGAGGTGCTTAATAGGAGGAAAGAGTCCTAGTCACTCTGATTCCTGGCCTGTTAAGACACATGTACAGCCCTGGTACATAGGAAGTGTTCAATAAACAGCTGCTGAATGATAAAGGCAGAAGACAGGGCAGCACTGTTCACTCTGCTGCTCTAAGTCCCTGTGTCCAGCCTCCAGGAGCTTACCAATCTGCCTGCACAAGGAATGCAGGTGCTGGAGCTCAGTACTCGAGATGTTCATCCTGATCCACATCCACTTCCTGAGTCCCCTCTTTGAGGTCCTCATGTAGCACTCTGCCACTCAGCCTCCCTGCTTGCCCCAGCCTATTGTTGGAGTGGGAGCCTAGTCTATCTGCCTCCCAGATGCCCAGAATACCTGTGCCCCTGGGTGGCCCTGACGAGGAAGCCCTGTGGGCTGTAATTCCTGTAACTCGGCTTCGTTGGCTGGGCCACAGCATCTGCTCTCCTGTACAGCCCCGCAGCCCAGCCTCCTCCCTGACTCTAGAAAGGTGCCACCAGAGAACACATTACTTATCTGCACCAGTGAAAATCCAAGTTTCAAGGACACAGATCTGCTTTTTATCTTCTAGGACAAGATGTGGCATTTAAAATGAAGCTCAAAAGGCTGTAATTCCATTTCTATAAAGCTCAAAACAGCCTATTCAGAGATATAAACATATGTAGTAAAAGCACCTTTAAAAGGGGGGGGAAAGAATGATAAATACCATCCAGATGGGGGTTACCCCCCCAAGGGAGGCAGAACGGGGTCAGACAGGGATACATCACAAAAATCAGTAATGCTTTATTTCACAAGATACATGTTGGATTCTGAGGCTTTTGTTTGTTGCTAGGCTTGACCACTTCAGTAAATAATATATAGATTTTTATGTATCAAGTATTTTATGATAAAACATAAAACAAAGTGTACAGACTTCTATGGAGTTGACAACCAAGCTAGAGCCACACCTCCCAGGAGAACTGGGCAGGATGAGCAAGCGAGAGCACGTGTGTGAGGCGCCATCAGGGGACAGCTGGGAGCTCTGAACCTGAACCCCCTCTGGGCAGAGGCTTCCTGAGGGCCCACAACTTGGGCATCTCACAAGCATTCCCTGCCACAGAGCTTCTCTAGTTCTCACCCTCAAAGTTACCCACAACCACTTATCACTCTCTTCTCCCTCACAGGTTTCTGCTAGGGAAGAGAGGATATAAAAGCCAAGAGGTGATCACCATCCCCAGCTTTATACACAGGGGCCAGAGAACTCTCAGAGTCCAGGGCTTCCTGCTGTGTGGGGCAGCACAATGTGACTGGGGCCTCAATACCAAGTAGAGGTCTCAACACCGTCTCCCAGGTGGCAGGACACAGATCTCCAGGTGGAGAAAGTGCACAGACCTGGATGAACCTTGCAAAAGCATGCCCTGGTCTGCGTACATACAGATCCTGGAAATGCAAGGCAGGTATGCTACACCCTGAGTACAGCCTGCCAAGACAACAGGAGCCAAGAGCAGAAGAGGCAGCCACATTACCTTTCCAACGAGGTGAACCTGCTCCTCGCTAGGAACATGTACATGATCCAAGAGATGCTGGGTTCCCACCAACCAACATATACAGCCATGATTATATACAATTTTTATTTCTCAGTTATACCTCAGTAAAGTTGGAACCACAAAAGACATATACAACTCTCCTTGGGAAAGAGGCAGAAGGGAGCCTAGAGCAAGACAGTGAAAGGATTCTCCTAGGGAGATGGGAGGAGGGAGAAATAAGTACCTCCAACACCACAGGACAGACATCACTGGCTCCCTCCTGACTTCAGGAGCCAACGGGAAGGGTGCAGAATTCCACACCTTCTCTCTTACAGTGTGTTCAAAGTAAGAGCTGAAAACTGGTAAAATTATGGATGGTGTTTTCTTTACAACAAGGGCTTGCTCAGTAGCATTTGTCTGCTCCTCCACATCTGCCTTGCAGGCACTGAGGATCCAGGGGGTCAGAGTACTCTCCTCAAAGCTTGCGTTGGAGGACGGTGGATTGCAAGCCCAGCTCTCAGAGTTCATAGCTTGGAGGTTGTGGGGGAAAAAAATCTTAAAAAGTGACCTTCTTGAGGGCTGATAAAGGGACACTCATAACTCCTCACTTTAGAGAAAACAATTTTTTTTTTTTGAGAATAAAAAAAGAGCAAACAGGTGTAAACAGATCTTTCAGATTTTGACTGGAGAGCCACTCAGTAGCTTAAAGCTCACGAATAGCAAAGCTAAAGGTACCCCTTGAAATCCCCTCCATCAGAAGAGTTGAAAGACACCAACAGGTGTAAACAGATCTTTCAGATTTTGACTGGAGAGCCACTCAGTAGCTTAAAGCTCACAAATAGCAAAGCTAAAGGTACCCCTTGAAATCCCCTCCATCAGAAGAGTTGAAAGACACTGCAACAGAGGTAGAGTTATCATCAGATGGTCACTGCCGTCCACTGGGGAGGACCCCTCCTCTACCTCCGGCCAGCACCAGAAGTGGGTGTAACGGGAGAGGAATCACTAGTGTTCTCTATAGGGAGGCCCCTCTGGAACGCACAGTTACACACCTTCTGTTATGGGTTGAACTATGTCCTTCGTAAAAGATATGTCTGAGTTTTAATCACCAGTAACTCAGAATGGGACCTTATTTAACAACAGGGTCTTTACCAAGGTAGTCAGCTAAAATGAGGTCATTAGGGTGGGCCCTAATCCAACACACTGATATTCCTACAAGAAGGGGAAATTCAGACAGAGATAAACATGCAGAGAGGGAAGACAACGTGAAGAGAGAGGGTACACAGCCATCTACAAGCCAGCCAGGGAAGCCAGGAGAGAAGCACGAAACAAACAGACTCTCCCTCATAGTCTTCAGAAGGAACCAACCCTGCTTGGTTCCTTGATTTTGGACTTCTAGCCTCCAGAACTGTGAGTCTATAAATCTCTATTGTTTGTCACCCAGTCTGTGGCACTTTGTTACAGCAGCCCTAGCAAACTAATACGGCTTCCATCCAGACTTTTAAAAAGAGATGGATTCTAAGGAATGGAAATACTTTGTCTTAGATTTATAGAGCACAGATCTTTGTGCCAATATGGCTCAGTTCTAATGGAAACAAAACAAAAAACCATGGAACAGCAGCCTCAGGATATGGGGTGGTTGGATGTAAAGAACGTGGCCAAGTTGTATCAGCTGTGACTCATGCTCAGAAAAGAGGAAATATGAAAAATTCAAGCCTATATACTGATTTTATAATAAAGCAGTTAAATAATTAACTCTAATTCTCTAAAAGAGGAGAGTGGAGAAAGTGGGAAATAAGTTAAGTACTTTTAAACGTTGTACTGGAACCCATATTCACACAAACACAAATATAAATACAAACCCCAGAAGCTTCTAGACCCTTGACCTGCTAGAACAGAAATGCCTTCCCCAATCATCGCAGAAACAGAGAAAGAAGGGCCGAAATATTCAAAATGTTGACCTACTTAAAAATAAATGTGCTAGCAGGTTTCTCAACCAATCTTCCCTTCTGTTTAGCATAACACACCAGTACGCCAGAATGAGTAAATGTTTTCCTGCAAATGGCCAGTAAATCCTTCTCCTCTATGATTTGTAAAGCAAAAC